TCATCATCATCATTTTCATCATCACCTCCACCATCATTTCACCAATTAGCAGGACCATTAGAGAACGACGCTCTCATCAAGGTATGCGTGGTCTATGTGGCAGAGTAGTCAAGCAGTTTGCTTCGAGATCTGAATGTCGTGGGATTCCTTTAAAATCTGCGTCGTTCAGCTCTCGAGTGCAGTTTTTACGGAAGTCTCTGGGGATTGTCGCCAGAGCTACGGAGTTCTTGCTCTGTGTGATTCTCTTGGCAAGCGGCTAGCCGTTCTGCTAAGTAAGACCGAGCCGTATGGGAGAAAACCCGAAGAACGTCGATTCTCTAGACTTCAACCTTTACCACCTGAAAGTCTCTCTTTCTGCTGCCAATTCTCCAACCCTATGTACCTTCATAGCCAATGCATCCATGGTGCCTTGTATGCACCTTCAGCCTCGTTGGGGGAACTGGTACGTTGTGTTGGGGTTTACAGCTAGGCTGTGATATTTACATCTTTCGTACCAGCACGTCTAATTTCAGAAACTGGGCTTTAAAAACAGACAAACAGACAGACAAATAGACAGATACCCATGGAATGAACATACATCACAGAACAGAGTGCTTCTCATGTATAGTTACCACAAAGTCTTGTTGTCTCGTTGAACCTCTTCCCATCCAGACACACACAAGAACATCCTGAGCCGCGGTACGCGTTTGATGGGCACGGAGCTGAGCAGCCAATTTTTTCTATTCTCACTGTCAAACATAAAAAATGGAATGTCTTTTCCCGTGTCAATTTATGGATGTTAGTGGTGGACTGTTACTCAGTCATTTTGGAAAAACAATAAAAAACAATAGTAACAAGTAAAACAACACAAAATACCGATCCCTGCAAAACCGATAACATCGAAACTTTAAATAAAGGGATTTACCAAGAAGAGACTGGTAGTTTGATCCATGGAGCAAGAATGAGTCGTGTGAACCATAGTCGCTACAACCTGGGAGTTCATATCTTATGAGACTCGCAAAAGTGTTGTAAGGAACTTTGTGGCTGAACGCCACCCTGTGTCCAAAAAAAGTTTTTAAGGGGAGTAAAAGGCTCCCTTTTAGCCATGTATAGACATTTTGTTTAAAAATATTTGTATTTTCTTCTTCAGCATTCCGAGCCCTTGAGATTCGTTGCTGCAGATGTCACCAGTCTCCATTCATCTCTTTGTTTGGCCTTCTCTTTCCAGTTGGTGACACCCAGTGTTTGCAGGACTGTCTGGACATAATCTCTCCATATTGTTCATTGTCTGCCTCGTGTTCTACGACAGTTCATCTCCCTTGTGTATACAGTTTGTACCTCTCTGCCATCTGACGTTCTCTGAATATGCCCCAACCCTTCAGTCTTTAAGTTCTCATGATGCCAGTGATTAGTAGTGATTATGAATTTCGTTGCTGCTTCTCACTCTCCATTTCCCGCTATTAACATCTTTCAGTATTTGTTTTTAAATTTTGTGTGTGTGTGTGAACCATTTTTATAATAATGTAATACTTGAGATACAAACACGCAAACACACACAGTTATGTATATATAGATTCTAGCCTGTGGATCCGAAGGTAATGTGTTCAGGTCTTCAGGGAGATACATGACCTAGACTCCCATGTAGACCCAGTATTAAAAGGGTACAAGGTAAAGTCCTGGGAAGTGACCAAATCCCCCTACCCCACCAAGTGGCGATTGGTCTATAAAACATAGATCTAGCCCTATATGCAAAGCACCCTTCAAAGATTGGAAAGCAGTTCTTTTCATTTCAATCAGGGCTTTTCAACTTGCGGCCCAAGGATCAAATCTGGCCCGCGGAGGCATAGCAAATGACCCACGTATCGTTGCCAGCTGTAGTGTAATAATGATCTTCCTATGCTATGGGCTCGGGCTTCAGTCTTTTTGCCATCCCCATTGCCAAAATTGTGGCCTTTAAGTAAATTTAGCCGTTTAGCTGCGAGACACAAACAACACAGTTTAATTATCAACACAGCGACGTGGGAGGCTACTCCGCAAGACCGTTCTGGATGGCGTACGTCCCTCAGACATGGTGCATCGGCCTGCCAGGCAGCAGAGGTTGCACAGGCAGAGAAACGGAGGCAGACTTAAAAGAATCGTACCGCTAATATCACACTTACTGCAGCTTCCATCTGTTGTCCGCACTGTTCAAGAGCTTTCCTGGCTCATATTTAACTGATCAGCCACCTTCGCACTCAAAATCATTGATCATTACTACTTTGGATGAAAGTGGTCTTCATCACTCGTGATTGACGAACCACAGCAACAGTTTACTTATTTTGCTGACTGTAGTTTATGCTGTCCATGCAATCATTAGGGCAAATGTTAAGTATTAGACTTACCGCATGAATTATTGCTTGCCACGTAAGCAAATTCGGGATCTATGCACGTGCACCCACATTGACCTGTCAACCTCGCGTTGCTTGGACACCGTGTTTGACAAGCTGGAATATCAAGAGCCGATTAAATGGGTTATTCAAATATTCTGAAAATGCCACAATGACACTTACCATTCTTTTACTTGCATTAACAAATGACGCAGTCAATCAGTTGTTCACTCAGTCGAATATTTAATACCTGATATCTGTATCAGGAGCAAAGATGGATCTGAGGAGAATAGCGCTGCGGGAAGTTACCGGGTGATCTGACCGACGCTCAACGCTCAAGGGAAAGTCGAGACCCATATACTGTCAGACAGCTACTAGTACCATCGGAATTGGAACATTTCTCGTGCTGCTGAAGATGGGGTTGGAGCGCTTATGAGAGTATCCGAAGCACTGTGATGTTGATTCCTGACTGAACGTTAAAATTATCCTTATTGATATCCTAGCATATCGGTCCTGTCTATTCATGCCCCATCCTTCAATGTAGTAGCCGGTTAGTCTCCCCAAATAGAGGAGGTCACTTTTCATTCACAAGTTTGTTGGGCTGGTCGACTTTGCTGGAGTTTAAGGGTGTATCTCGCGCTGTTGTATGGTTTCTGCGATGTCTTGCATTTATATTTTAATTCCGAGAAAGAGAATGCCTGCGACATAGGTTGCAGCACTCTCGAGGATTGTTGTGTTAGAACCAGTTTCTCCATGTTTTTGGAGTGTTAAAAGTTTAAATCAGAAGTGAGCAAGTGTGTATATGGGCATACTCTGGGGAGACTAACGTCAAACTAACCCTTTGGGCCCCAGCTGACCTGGTTTAACCCTTTCAGTACTAGGAGAGTTCTCAAGATGTATTTAAAGTTAACGATAGTCACCTAATATAAACTTTTAACCTGACTGCCGCAGATGTAGTAACACCCATGCCTAGTTGGGGCATTACAAAAAAAAAAAAAAAACTAGACATGGTTCTGTAATATGCTTCGGTTAAACATCAAATCATATTGTTGGTTGCTTGGTACACATAAGCAATAGCTGGCCAAACATGGTGAGCTGGTTATGGCTGAAAGAGTTAGCAACCACTTACAGCAGGCAATTCATCGTCTCTGACACCTTTGTCTCAGCGCAGTAGATTCAGTCTATCCTCTCCTTACAGCTTCATTTAACTCTACCTCAATGACGACATTGATACGATTCACCATGCTTTACTCCCAGGTTACGTAATCGCGTTAACGTCGGAGATTCGGTATCATTCGCTAGTTTAGTTCGCACAGTGTTCAAGATATCATCTCCTTGCTGGCTTCATCGAACACGCATCGGTGCATTGCTTGCCAGCTGTTTGGCTCATTTGTGGACACTTGTTCAGATGTGCCAAATGTTGATGAAGACATTCTAACCGCAACTTAAATTTTACCTCTTCGTAATTTTGGTAATGTGAAGCTATACCATCGCGAGATTTAAACTTCTCAATATGGACGGCGGGTCAACATGGCTAATCACAGATACTCCTTCTAGAATATTGGGGTGTGCGGGGAAATGAGCAGGCTGAGAAACTGGCTGATATTGATCCTCCGGGCGGTGAGATACTTTATGATAAAGTGGACATCGTGAAGGCTCTCTAGCATCTAATGGTATTTTACCTGTTATTTTCTTCTTCTTTTTGATGTCCTCTTTTACCGCTTCGGGTGTCGAGGTAGATATAAGGTCCTGCTTCGTACTCTTTTGGCTGTTTCCACCATTGTTGTGCTGTAGAGTTTCTCTGATGTTATCTTCCCATATTTTTCTTGGTCTCTTTTTTGCTCTACGTCCCTCTCCTCTCTTGGTGTATGCCTTGTATGGTATAGCATTACAAGGCATTCTCTCCAAGTGGACAAAACATTTGATTGCTTTCTGTGTATGTAATTTAGAATTGGTTCTGTGCCAACTTTGTCTCGTGTGATCTCATTTCTGATTTGATCTCCCTTCGTCACTCCTGCAATCTTTCTCTACCTCATCTTCATGGTTACTAATTTTCTTTTATGTTTTGATTAAGTGACCACGTCTAGTACTGGTAGCATAGGCTGGGAATGAATATGCTTTGTATGAGATGTTTCTTTGTGTGCCAGGACTCTGTGGTGTAAGAGGGAATAAACGAGTAGATTGGCAGCGGACAGGGCAAATATTCTCAGTGCTCTAAATAAGGTAAGACATGAAGATGTTTCAGGAGAAGACGGTGAATCCGCAACCTTGACAAGACTACAAGAACTAAATATTAAAAAAAAGGCTTAAGAGATATAAGGTAAAATAAGTAGCTAAAAAAGGATATTAAACTATCACAGAAATTGAGTTATCAGTCGCCACACGCTGAGGGATACACTTAGGCTGGGATCCGAGCGCCTATTGACTTTTCTGATGAGTGATAAGGGTGATCGGTCGATTAACTAACTAACTGACTGACTGACCAACTAACTAACTAACTAACTAACTAACTAACTAACTAACTAACTAACTAACTAACTAACTAACTAACTAACTAACTAACTAACTAACTAACTAACTAACTAACTAACTAACTAACTAACTAACTAACTAACTAACTAATCAACTGACTAACTAATCAACTAACTTAGTTACCTTCACAGACGCGACTATCAAAATCCACGCCAAACAGATCGGTGAAGGAATTTACACTAAAGACGTTAGTGAGGTCCCCTCCGGTGATTGAACTCAGCTCCTCGTTTGTCATGGCAGTTCCAACACGGATTGTGATGATCTGGTAGTCGTTATTGAGGGCATTTTGGTAAGCCTATAGGAGACAACAGGTAGACATGAAGTCTAACATGGATAGCGAGGAAAGCGGGTCGTGACAGGGCGTTTGATCGTTCCCGTTACAGAAGAGCGTAGACAGATATCTTGATCAACGTCTCCTGGCATCATGCTAGAATTAGATATTAGTTAAATAAGCCACAACTCTCGTGCTCTGTTGAGGCTTTTTCCACAAATGCAGATTTCTTTTATTATATTTTGAACGGGGATTTCTTCTGATTCACTTTAAACGCACATTCTTCTAATTTGGTTAAAACGAACATTTCTTCTGATATACTTTAAGAGACGTAAGCTACAACCCAACAACTATTATCAACAACAAGAGAGGCATACCTCTATTAAGTCCACAATAGAGGTTGGCAAGATGTGCAGAGTATTTACAAGAACTTCTCAATCACACAGGCAAAGTAGATAATTTTAACTTTGTACTTCAAAACTGCGAACAAGAGGAACTGAATTTGATAGCAGCGGAAGTAAGAGCAGATAAGAAGAAAAGCCATAGAAACAAGGCACCAGGTCTGAATGGAATTAATACAGAAGGGATCCAAGCCTGCGGAGAAGTGGGTGTTAAATGGCTTTCCAGAATTTTCAATAAAGCTTGGGAAGAAAGAGAGGTCCCAGCTGAGAGGCAACAGGTATTAATAGTACCGATGTGGAAAAAGAAAGGTAATAGGAGAGAATTTGAAGCATACAGAGGTATATAACTACTGAGTCACGTTGGAAAAATGTACGCTAAATTAATAGAACAGAGAGTTACACCCATAGCTAAACAACAGCTGAGTGCATCACAATTCGGTTTCAGAAAAGGCAGATGCACAGATGCATTATTCACTCTGAGGCAAGTGTGTGAGAAAGCCATTTAGTATAATACCAAACAGAATATTGTGTTTATAGATCAGCAAAAAGCTTTCGATAGAGTGGAAAGAAACAAATTGTTGTCTGTTCTTGAGAACTACGGGGTACAAGGACAGTTACTATAGAACATCATAGCCATGTACCACACAAGCCAAAGTGCAGTAAAAACACAAGAAGGCATATCAGATATGTTCACAGACAACACAGGTGTGAGACAGGGATGTGTGCTCTCCCAACTTTTATTTAACATCTATATAGACAGAATATCTAAAGAAGCAAGTTATGATACAGACAACATAGACCTTTATAATCACGAGGAAGTACACACATCAGGAGAAGTAATCGATTCACCCACATTAAATGAACTACTATTTGCTGACGACCAGTGCTTGTTCTGCCCTGAAGAAGATAGACTGCAAGACCACATTAACAGGTTAAACTCAGCATGTAGTAAATACAACATGAAGATCAATGTATACAAAACCGAAACAATGAAAGTTAGTAGAACCCCTGCCCCACTACACATACAGCTGAATGGTTCTGCCCTGAATCAAGTTAGGGAGTTTAAATTTCTAGGAAGTATGATCACAGAAGATGGTAGAATTGACAGAGATATAGAAACCAGATGTCGAAAAGCAAGTGCACTTATACACCAATTGTCACCATTATTAAGATATCCAAGCATAACTATGAGTGCAAAGAGACAGATTATTAATAGCATATTACGCAAATTTCTATTGTTTTTTCCAGACGATAGTGTCATATTGCGCTATGTGAGGAGAGCTGGGACTCAACTGCCCATGGCGATAGCGAGTGTGACTAGCAAGATACACACACACACACACACACACACACACACACATACATATATATATATATATATATATATATATATATATATATATATATATATACATTTATATTAAACACATATTTCTTTTAATACATTTGAAATGCAGGTTTTATGCAATTTAATATATTTTAAACGCAGAATTAGTTAATATTTTTAAAATGCATATTTTTTTTATTTAATATATTATAAACGCACAAAACTTGTAATATGTTTTATACGTAAATTTCATGTAATATAATTTATACGTAAGTTTCGTTGAATATGTTTTATACCTAAATTCCAACAAGTATATTTTATTCGTCACATTTCTTTACATGTATTTTAAACCCATATTTCTTTTAATATATCTTAAGTTTTCTTGATATATCAACATCAATACACGAGTTAGATGAATGGTCGTAGACCAGAAGACAGACCAAGCACACGATGGGGAGATAATATCTAGACAGACCTGCCAAACTTGGTGTCACCAACTGGAAAAAGAAGACAAACCAGAGAGATGAATGGAGGCGGGTAATATCTGCAGCATTGAACCTCAAGGGCTCAGAATGCTGTAGAAGAAGAAGAAGAAAAAAAGAAGAAGAGGAAGAAGAAGAAGAAGAAGAAGAAGAAGAAGAAGAAGAAGAAGAAGAAGAAGAAGAAGAAGAAGAAGAAGAAGAAGAAGAAGAAGAAGAAGAAGAAGAAGAAGAAGAAGAAGAAGAAGAAGAAGAAGAAGAAGAAGAAGAAGAAGAAGAAGAATTACAAAGATAAGACAGTGATTTTCCAGACTTACAGTTCTTGTTGCCTGAGGATCGACTGTAGGCCCATCAATGATGAGAATCAAGGCAGCAGGCTCTTCTCTGAGGTCATCATTCAGCATCCCAACCGACTGGATGATAGCTCGGTCAGTTCCGGTACCGCCTGAAGTTGGGAAAGCCAGTCTGAGACGGATCTTCTCTGCAAGATCGTACTTGTCATCCTCAAGCTATGACAATGGTCGATGAGGCAATCGTGTATTTATGCAGGGGTTATTGAAAATCAGTGCCGAACTGGTAAACTTATTCTAAACAAAGTATTTAAAAGATTTAACACATATGGCATCGTATAATGTGGAAAAAAAAAACAGCAAGTTTTAGACACCTTGGTGCACTTTCGATAGTGGCACCTTTTAAAGTAGCTCGGGCAAAGTCTAAACGGCATTCAGTCTCCTGCTCTGTCTTCTGAACCGTGCCTAGAGTTACAGGTGAAACTGCTGCAGCGAGCCTCACTTTAAGGTGCCGAATGTTTCTCATCATTTCAGCGCTCTTTTAAGGCCTTCAGGAGTCGCCTTGGCGTAGCGGCTAGACGCTTGCGTTCGGATCGGAAGGTCGTGGGTTGGCTCCCTGGCGGAGCCGGGATTTTTTTTCAAAATTGACCTTGACTCCCAGGTCCACCCAGCCTTGAGTGGGTACCAGGTGCCGTCAGGGGAAGTAAAGGCAGCCAGGATGATGCTGACCATATCACCCATCTTGCGCCGATTGGTCTATACAAATATAGGTCTAGCCCTATATGCCCTATCTGCCTAAAGGCGTGGAAAAGGGACCTTTACTTTTACTTACTTTTTTTTAGGCCTACGATCACACAAAGACACACGAAACTTGACATTCGAACCCTACTGCCCAAGCTTTTTCAGGATAGTTGCGTATCCTTTAAGGACGTCGCAGAACCAGTCCCATCAGCCTCTGGCTGTTGTGTGGTTTTTCTAGGCAAATTTAAGTCCAGTAGTTTTGCCATTTCCATCTGGACTGTCGGCTCCCTGATACCACTGTCGAAACCAACACATGGCCGGCAGCTGGGATCGAACCCGGTACCCCGGCATTACGAAGCGTTCGCATCGACTTAGCCACATAGCCGACGCCTAAGCATTTACAGATAGCTAAACCACAACCCACTCACCCTTATCCTAGTGTCCGCTGACTGTATTTGCGAGTCTGTCCCATAGACGTTGACCCCTATGGCGTTGTTGACCAGTCGGAAGCGTAGAGCTGTGTGGACCAGGTACTGTCTGACCGTCGCTTCGTGACGCAGGACACTGTCTGAGCCGTCAACCACGATCAGGAGATCTCGGCACTCTAAAGAAATACACCGTTTGATAAACAATGTTTGTCGAGATGCGACTGTATATTATCAGTGTCCATAGGACCTGTGGAGGTGGGGTGGGGGGGGGGGGGGGGAATGTGGAAGGGGTGGGTCCAAGCCCAGAAAAATGATCAAGGGACTGAACCCACCCCTTCTCCCGCCTAGGCAGCTTTTATGAGGGTAAGTTAGTTAGTTAGTCGACAGATTATCCTGATCGCACGTCGAACCACTGAGTCCATAAGTGCTCGGATCCCCTCCTCAGCAAATCCCGCAGCGTGTAGCGGCTGACGACACCAGTCCTGTGTTGGTTTATTCTTCTTCTTTGGCAACCATCGTAGTGTTCATGTTTATCGACACCTCGTTTAACCTGCATTTAGTAAATCAACCTGGTCCAAGGCTTGTCCGGCTTTTACAGTAGCTTACCTGCAAGCCTATCAGCCTGCTCGTTTCCTTGTACCCCCACATATACTGGCACGAAAATGAAAGTAATGTGCCTAATCATATTTAGACAATCTCGTTTTAATTACCTGTTTATAAATGTCACATTTTATTCACATATATTACTATATTGTGTGCCATTCACCAAAAAATGGTAATTTTAATAGTCGTAATAATTATTATTTTATTATTTGACCTTTAACACAATGCTTTCTTCTTCTTCTTCTTCTTCTTCTTCTTCTTCTTCTTCTTTTTCTTCTTCTTCTTCTTCTTCTTCTTCTTCTTCTTTTTCTTTTTCCTACTTGCCGGTTGTAAACTCCGGCTAAAGCTCTGAGTGATCACCCACTTCAGGACTTTAGTCTTGTTCCAGAATCTGAATTTTGCGCGTACATCCCTTTTCCAGCAATGATTTACTTGTTTGCAGGCTATTAGTTCCTTGCCTCTAGGACAGAATTACTCGGACTTCGAAGGATGCTCCCTATTAGTCTATTATTCTTGCTTTTGCCACAATGGAGACATAGAGCCCACATGCAGAAAACAAGATTTTCAATGGGTGTTGGTGATTCGGTATCTCCCCACAGTGTGAATAATATATTTGAGTGGAAGCCTAGTCAATATAAACTTGCCTAATAAAATCATAAACAGTCAACATATTCTATGTCTGGTTTGCCACGTCCTACAAACGACATGAATGCAACATGTGTGTGTGTGTGTGTGTGTGTGTGTGTGTATATATATATACATATATATATATTTGTGTGTGTATGTGTCTGTGTGGTGTGTGCATGGTGTGTGCGTGTAGGAACGAGTGTGTGTGTGCGCGTGTACATAAATGCATATGCATGTATGTTGTGAATGTATATGTGTGTGTTTATGTATGTATGTGGGTGTGTGTGTTTGTGTTTTGTGTGTGTTGAGTGTGTGTGTGTTGTGTGTGCATGGTATGTGTGTGTATATATGAGTGTGTGTGCATTTGTGTGTCTATTATGTGGGTATGTATTTGTGTGAATGTATTTATGTTGGTATATATGTGCATGTGTGTATGTGTGTGTGCGCGCGCACAAAATACATTGTGAGTGTGGTAACTCAAGACTTACTGCGGCCTCTTTGAACAGGATCCAACACACGACCTGGTGAAACGAAACAGACGAAGAACTATTAAACAAAATATTATCTTTTCGTTTTTATAATAAAAAATCGACACGACACATTTTTATCATCAAATGTCTTGTTCGCTGGCGTGAGCGATTATGTCTCTTTGCAATCTGCGATCTTCAACAATATTTACCAGTTCATGCGCTGACACATTTTCATGCCATGTCATTATGTAAGGAAAGAAAAAGACAATTTCTAACTGGCTGCCTGACCTGATCAAAAGAAGAAAGAGAAAAACGGAAAACAGTACATCGCTTCTCTGTGGTGCATGACAAAAGTGGGGTGGCCATCTTGAGACTGTTATCATGTCGTCACCACGTTCGTCCTGACCATGATGCCACGTGCTTAACACTTTTAATATTCCTAATAACAACGACAGTTTACAAAACAATGTCCGGAGCCATCATGGTACAGAGGTTAGATCTTCGCCTGCTGATCCGAAGTTCGTGCGTTAAGGTCCAAAAATTGCCAGATTTTTATTCAAAAATGACCTTGGCTCCCAAGTCGACCCAGCCTCAAGCGGGTACCAGGTGAAGTCCTGGAAAGCAAAACCTGGCCGGTGTGATGTTGACCACATCACCAAACGTGTGTCGACTGGTCTGTGAAAAATGTCTAGCCCTATGTGCCCTATATGCCTGCAGGTTTTAAAAAGGGTCATTTTACTTTACACGATAGTTCCCCTAGAGAAACTAGGTCACATTCCATTGATAACTTTTTTTGACTGGTCTGCTGTCCGAAAAAAGGAGGGGGGGGGGGGGGGGGGGGGGGGGGGGGATTTACGGATTTGCCTCTATGTTGTTGGCTTTCTAGCTTATCTTGCATTAACGTTTTTCTTCCGAAAAAGAGAATGCCTGTGACATAGGTTGCAACACTCTCTAGGGGGATTTGTTTTAGACCCAGTTTCTAAATGTTTTTGTAGTGTTAAAAGCGCTTTCGTGCTTAAATATACAACACGCTATATCAACGGCATTGCTGAACACCCGCGTAGCAGTGTGCGAAGGTTGGGTGACTCAAGGTCGACCAGTTAGAAGTAAGCTAGTGTGTAAATAGGCGGTCTCTGGTGGTGGTGGTGGGGGAGGGGGGGTGGGGGATTATAGTGGAACTAACTGGTTTATCTTACCTGGACAAGCGACCAGCGAGGTCCAGTTGATCGCCTTCACGTGATCCTGCACGACGTGAGAGATATATTTCAGCATTTGACCATCTGGGTTCTCCAGGCTCAGGCTGATGATCAGGACTCCGCTATCCTTGGCCAGTTTAGCTTCCTGGGAAAACAAGGAAGCAATCATTAGGAAGACAGGGGGCTGCGTGGTCCCGAGGCATGGTGTACGCCTCGAGTGCTAGAGGTCTATTGTTCAATTCCCGGTTAGGGCTGGGATTTTTTCACGTGGACTTGGACTTCTAATAATTCCCCCCTGGTCTCTAGGTAGTCAGATCGGACGCCCGTGTGCATTCTTGCGCACTTAACAAATTCCTCGGGAGATGGAAATCAAAAAGAGAAGCCTAACAGCGCTGCCTGGGCAAAATTGATAGTTACAAATCTACCCAAAGTATTTCAGGATCCTCGCCGGTGCTACAGAGATTGGGCACTGTGCTGATCTTTTTCGGACTTAGGCTTGAGGTAGAAGAAGAACGGAGCACTTATGGAAGACACCTACAACAAGCTTCCATAAGGCTAAATGAAAACTTTCTCATTATGTCAATCATCCTAAATTTTCAGTAGAAAATGAAATGATATTTCTGGGTAAAAATATAAAAGACTAATAACCAGTTGCGGGATAAAATATCACCAGGGCTTGGCTTGCTTTGCGAAAAAAAATCGTCACGTTCAACCAGCATCGCCGAAGGGGAGCTTTGGGTTATAATTGTGAATATGTTATGTGGAGCCACATAGAATGGCTTAATAAAACTCGCCACCAATTACCCTGAAAAGAACAATTGTAGTGTTATTGTGATCAAATGAGACCAGCCTAAATACTGTCCCGAATAACGAAGAACTCGTCTACAGGCCAGCAAATAGACGACCCGGTCGCCAATTAAATATTCTTCTTCTTCTTTTTCTTTGCGTTCGGTTTCGCATGCTCAGATCAGACCATCAGGTTGATTGCCTCTATGAACTCACATGTCAGTAGCAGGTCCTTCGTGGGGGCCCATATCCTGCTCTGCACACTTTGCTCCTGGGGCCAGGTGTGTTTTCGAAGTTGTATGTAGAGTGGGCAGGTCTGCAGACTGTGCTCATGTGTTTGTGGTCCTGTCTGACAGGCACATAGTGGGCACTGTACAATCCTTGT